AGTTTCTGAGTGACTTACCTCAATATAAGCCTCTCGAAATTCTCCTCCAGGTGCCATTCCCAGTTGCTCCGTGATATGAGCAGAAACTTTGAGCAGTAGAATCTGCATCAGGCCAGACATAAGCCCATTCTGAGAGACAGAGACAAAAAAATAAACATTTCAATGGCAATACCTTTCATAAACACAAAAACTGGCTGTGGATCTGAAGCGCAGCCAGACGTTGTGGTTTGACAAGTCGTATCCCAACTCTCTTGCGCAGCTGAGGTTCTCAGTTGCCTAAATACTTCTGGGAATCCGGGTGTTATTCCAGACAGCAATCTCAAATTGGGTAAACAGATAAGTACAGTCATTAACTCAAGCTGTTTTTCCCCAAACTATGACTCACTACTGAAGTGAAGCCATGACTCTCTCTTAAAAAAGGACCCTGAGAAGGTTATCTGTGCTTTTATTACTTCTTGTCTGCAGTTGTTTATATGTTGGCCTCGACCAATCATTTCTGCAGCACGTGCAAATATTTCAAAACACTGCAGCTCATCTTTTAACCAGCACAAAGCATGAAGATAAAACTCCAGTCTTAAAATGTCTTTCTTGGCTTCCTCTTTGTCTTAGTATTCATTTTATTGCTCACGTTAAAGATTTAAATACTGCAATATTTAATGGGATGGATAAACAAATGGATACTATTATTTTGTCACAGGAGCATAACATCAGAGATCATAATTCATCACTTCAAAACACTACATACAAGTTATATTCACATAGCAGGTCTTGATGATCAGTTCAATTAATTTTTTTCTTTTGCATGGTCGTTCATTCTACTAATTCAATCCGACAATGGAAGCCAGCAAAAAAAAAAAAAAAAAAACATCTATTACCATGTGAAGCATTTGACTGCAACTTCTGTTTGGATGTGTAATTTGAAGCAGGAGCAGTGGGATGTGATGCGCTTCACTAACAAATTTCTTTCATAATAATGATTTCCCCCCCTGTTTTCACATCTAGATTTACCTCATCTGACTTCTTCTGGTGCAGAATTATGACACGTGTTGCATATCAATAACGTAAAAGCCAGATAAAATGCGACGAGACCGCTCTGGCTGCAGACGTTTTGAAAACTATAAGACTAAATGTACCCGATTTAGTTCCACGTGTGGAAGTTGCACAAATAAGACTTTTTTTCTCTTTGGAAGATGAAAAGATCAAAATTAGACCATTCACACTGCCAAGAAAACAGCATATATGGGTTGCACATTGAAAAAACATAAAAATAAACATTCTGATTTGTGTGAACGTAGCTCCAGATTGAGGCTGCAAAATACTTGTGACAAAAAAACATTTTAAACAAACTCCATACACCTAAACAGCATATTTGCAAGGGAGAGTGTTCCAAAGTACAATTCTAAATCCAAATCACTATGGAGCCCAAGACTTGAAAAGTGATTATTGTAAGCCCACTTCATCTAATCTGATAGAACATGACCTATTTTACAATGAAAAATGGTTCTGATGCACAAAGCTGGAAAAAATACACCTCAGAAGACTTGCAGGTGTAACTGGTGAAAGGTGGTTGTGCAATGTATTGGATCAGGGCACACATTATGCATGTCATACTTTTTAGATGTTTATTCGTAAAAACATTTTAGAAACATGTATGTTTTCCATTCACTTCACAATTATTCACTGCTTTTTATTTATCGCATAAAATTTCCATTTGCTTAATTCATCTGTGATATCTAATTCTCCATTAATAATATCTCAATGCAGCAATTCTTTCTACTGTGAAATACCACAACACCACCATTTTTTCTTGTGTTCTGATTCTACTTTATATCACCGCCACTTTTCCAGATCAGATTTTATCAGGTCTGTCTGAAAGCCTAACCTGCTTGATGGCTTGCTGAACCTTCTCCAGGTTGATATCTTTGGCTTCCCTCAGCAGCGTGTTCTCATCCATACGTAACATTGACACCCTGTACTGGCATAGCTCCACCACCACCACGTCTGGCTGCACAGCTCGGATTGTCTGGAGGAGGGGCAGAAAAGATGAGATATTGGGATAGATGAGGTATTGGACGCACCATAACATAAAAATGTGAGAAATACAAGTGGAAAACACCCAATGAGAATGAAGAAAGTTTCAGGGACGAGATGACACTTGACTAAATGAGCCCACGACACCAAGAGGGAAAGTCATTATCACTTAGCCTCTGTTAATTATGCACATTATTTTACTGCCATTTCACAGAGTACCACATTTTTAAGAAGGTGTGAGCAACTTTACATTCTGCCAATTCTACATTCCTCGTCTTTGCCTGTTCAGCTTACCGTCGCCACGTCATTTTTGCTGTCCTCGCTGAAATGGGCAGTGCCCACCAAGTACAGGATGCTTCCGTCAGGAGCAGTGAGACGGGTCACCGTCTCTGGGAGCTCAGGGGAGTCCTGGCGGAGCCGGGCTCGGAACTGCCACAGCATCTCCAACGTTTCACCATCCGCTGAACGCGGACAGCACAGGTGGTTAATGAAGCCAGTATTAAAATACTAAAACTGTTATGTTAAAATCTAACATCAAAACCACTGCTACCAACACCTTTACTTTAGATATTCCCTAGGTGAGAAGGAGTTCTGTTTGGAAATAATTATACAGTCACCAGAGAGCAAGATTTCATGACGATGGCTGCATAAATGTTTTAAGGAACACGTATGTAGAAATCCTTTTTTTAATCACTACACACAGATAGAGACGCAGCTCCAAGAAAATTGGAAATTGTGGACAAAATTTAACACTTGATTTCAGAAAGTGAAACTCGTGGATTTATTACCCACACAGAGGACCAATTTCAAGCCTTTGAGTATTGCGAACAAGATAATGTCACACCCTCAAAACACCTGCGAAGGTTTTCGAACCCTCTAAAAGGTCTCTCATGCTCAGGACACAGTCAAGGAGAAGACTGCTGACTGGAGAGATGTCCAGTGATTGGCTTCTTGCACAAGTACAATAAACCATAAAAGATAATTTAACAACCAGCTTCTTTAGCATGATTCTGCATCCTAGCTGCTGTCCTTAATTGATAAGCTAGCTGCCCGCTGATCAACTCCAACACCACACCACACTGATGCAGTAATTTGTGCACTTGGAGACCAAATAAATAAAGTACTGAATGAACATACTTTTCCAATGCCTGACAATTTAGTTTAAAATCTCTCTCTTTAATTCATTGTATGCAATTCTCTACTTTTCCCAGGTACAAAGTTCTCACTTTTCATCGTTTGTAATCATCAATATTATAAATAGAGGTTTGGAATATTTCACTCTGTGAAATGAAATAATTATTTAGTTTCAGGTTGGGTAAAGCATTTAGGATCAAAAGAAGCATTACTTGTTTCTGTTGGGTGAGTAGAGAGTTGTGCTATTTTAATTAATTAGTCCACGGTAACAATGCTATCAACAAGCTATCAAGCCAGGGAATATAAATAATATATCTTAACTCACGTGTGAATGGTTGTCCATCTGGAAATTGGATTTAAACGATGAGATCGTTACCTGTTAGAAAATGGGCGCTACAAAAGCTGGCATTGTTGGTCACCACGCCTTCTGCTTTTAGCTGCAGATTGGTGATACACTTTTCTCCTCTTTTTATCAATAAGTTAAAAAAATAATAAATTCTCTTGTGACCAAATACCTTCGAAACACGAAAATAACGTATTATTTTCGTTCCAACCTATTAGAACGGTTGGTACAACCGCACATGACACACGCTCACCTGAAACCCAACAATACTGCTCAAGATTACATTTTTTTTCTTTTTTATAAAAACTTTAGGTAACAGACCAAAGGTAATAGTTGTCATAAACTGATCAACTGAGACAGGCGACTTCAAAACTTTTTGAAGAAAATGTGCCAGTTGTCAAACACAGCGCACGAGTCAATTGTGAGCACCTTTTTTTTATTGCCGTTTCAATTTGAGAATGACGTAAAAATCAAAAGCATACCCATTCCCGGTGCTATACAAGGCGGTGTGTCTCCCCCAGCATTCTCTGTTGGACCAACTGACCCAACCTGCGAGACAACCAAACAGCAAGGCATCGTCAACGTCTGACGGCTTGTTCAGCTCTGCTCGAGATTAAGAGATAACCCCTGTCTAAGTCTAGCGGATCACTAGCGACTAGACAACATTTTCCAACTAAATCTTAACTAATGGTACATCATCGTGAAACTTAACAGTCTGTCTTCACACAAGCTTGTGTTGTTGTTGTTGTTTTTCCTCACCTCTGATTTGTCGCCTTTGTCCATGTTTTGGAGAAAACGAAAACTGCGTGCGACATGGAGAATTACAGGAGTGAGACCATGAAACAGTGAGGCGTTCACTGACAGTTGGACACGCTCTGACTGATGACGTTGCTTTACGTGCACGTAACACAACTACCGGCTTGGCAAAAGGTGGCTAGCAGTTACAACGCAGAAAATGTGAAAAGTGGTGACTGTCACTAAAAGAATAAATCAAACGTATACAGCGAGATCTCCCAACGATGTCATCGCTATGAAAATGAAGATAAATCTATGAGAAAATAACCTATCAAAAAGACTTTTTCCGAGCATTTTTTTTATAAACACATTTTTGCTGTACCAAGTGGAAACACTTTCCTTACAAAAAAAACTTCACGGTTTTGCTAGCTTCCTGCAAATAAGGCTAACTCGGGCTAACACAAGCTAGCTAACTCGACAAAAATTGGTACTGTATGTATTTTAAAACTAAATAAATTTACAATATAACCAGTTACTGTGTCATATCGGACTTCATGAACCCACCAGAAATGCTGCAGAACAAAATGTTACTTACAAAGCCAGCGCGTCTGTCCCACTGCTGTTTGCTAGTGTAACAGAGCGACACTCGGTTGGTTAATACTGACAGCCGCGGTGCATTCTGGTACATGTAGGCAATGCAACCACATCAAGTTTTTTTTTTTTTTTTTTTTTTTTTTTTTTTTTTTTTTTTTTTTTACAAAAAAAATGTTTTATTTGTGTTTTTACTAAGACATTTCACAAGGTACAGTCATATTCTGGACTCTGCGTGTGCAGTAGCTTTTCACACAGTCATAGGTTTCTCTCTTTGTCAGCTGTAGGCTAATGTGAAAATCAACACAGAACATGAGTTTTAAGCAGTCATTAACAACTCACTAGTGCTTCTAGTCGTAAAGTGCTTGTGGATGCATTTAGTGTGCTTGAGTATTATCACGAGGCAGCCTTAGGAGTATGATGATGAGCTGAAGTGGAAAGTTGTAAGCCACAGTGTGTCTCTTCAATGCCCCAAGAGAATGAGTGAGTTTTGTATCGATGAATACTGGAGGCCCTTCACACCAGACCAGTAGTGATATCTTCTGCAACAATGTCATGCTGATGTGACAATAAGTATTACACTTCCTTTATTGAAGTTCCTGTTATCAGATGTGCAAGAAAGTTTGTGACTAGAACGTGCCACATTTTTTTTTTTTTTTGTGGAAAAAGGGGTTCATAGGTGCGTATGCTTGCTATTTATTCTACAAGTATTATAAATATATATTCTAACTACTTGTGATTTAATGTACAGAAAAGAATTTTGGATTGTGTCAGAGCCTCAGACAGCATAAAAGCTTACTCATTCTTGCAATAAACCGTTCAAAAAGGAACAGTTGAACACGTTGCGGATCATTTTGTTCACATGACATCACACCACCTCAACAAGTTCAGCTTCATTTATCAAACTGAGCTGATTCTTGTTTTTAATATGCCAGCAGTTTCCCCCCCTCAGTTTATTAACAACAGTGCCTCACTAAAGTATTCATATACATTTTTTTGCAATTTCATCTAGTTAGAATCACAAACTTCAGTGGGTTATTGGGATTTTATGTGATTGACCAACACAAAGTCATGTATAATTTTCAAATGAAATGAAAAAGTCTATGTGTTTCTCAAAATTTGTTGTGTTATGAAAATCAAAGTGTGGCCTTTTTAAACCAAGAAATGCACAAGACACAAGAGAGGTCAGGAAGGTGGCAGGGGATAAAAAGAAGGGTTAGGTTAAATAATATCCTTTACAGACTTGCAATTCAGACTTGGCACTTTTCAATCCATAATTTGAGAATAAAAAAATGTATTGATCATTCGAAAATCTGACAGGACAATTAAGCATTAATTGGACAAACATTAATCAGTGAAGGAGCAAAACGGCACATAGTTGCTCTGAAAGAGCTGCAGACATTTCCTGTTCGGGTGGGAGAATCTGTCAGTAGGTCAACTATAAATCATGTACAAGTCTGGTTGATGGGACTCAGTAAAAGTTTGTTTGAGAAGACAAGCTGTCAAAGGCTGCAAAGATTTGAGACTGGGACAGAAGTTACCCTTACAGCAGGAAATCAACAAGAAATGTACAGCTATGGTTTTAGCATATTGCTTCAAATCGAATCATATTCCTAAGATACAGTGGTGATGATCAAAGTTCTCACCTACAATAACTTCATTTAAGAAATGGTGGCAAGTCTTGAAAATTAATGCCTTGTGGTGGTGGTCTGTCCAATTTCACTCAATTTGAGCTATTTTGCAAAGAATAATTGGCAAAAATTTTAAATCTCTTGATGGTCAAAGTAATAGCTAATAAAGTATTGACTTCAGAGTCTGAATACCAATTCATGAATTTTATGTTAGATAAGAAAATATTAAAATCAGGTATTCATTTCCTTCTACTTTTGTACATTTCTTTGCATTCTGCATTCTTGTCTACCACAACAATTGGAATGAAGCAAATAAAATAAGCAGAAAAAATGGAAAGGGTATGAATACTTTTGCAAGGCACTATATCTCTATCATTACCATTTATCCTCTCAATCACATAATAAGTCATCCTGCTATTACAAAGGATGTGCACATACAGCGACGTATCAATGGCAATGTTGAAATGAAAATGATAAGCCATGGAACTATTTTAGATTTGAAACACCCAACATATACCAACACATTTTGTGAAGTATAATGCTCAAAGCGCATACATTATTGCCACATATATATTGTGATCATTTGCATATTAAGAGTGCAGATCTCAACAGCTGTATTGCGTGAGCTACATTTCTACTTGGCTAGAGGGATAAAGGGACAAAGTGTTAATATGTTTTAAATACATACTGTTTTTTTAAGCTGTAATGCAGTCTTTCTATGTAATGTGGATTTGTAAGGTGTCTCTCATTTCTATGTTAAAAAGCTTATTCATTTTTCTTTCACCTTGTACCTTTTTTAGCATAGCTGTTTTACCCTGCTCTTTAGCACCCTGTTGAATAATATATCACTGCTGGTTTCACTGGTGGGTGATCAGTTGAACACAGTCATCCTGAGGCATGAAGGTGACATCATTTTCTATAACAAAAACACATATGTTATCATTATTTTTCCCTCTTTTTCCGACAACCACGCTTTGTTTGTGCTGTTGAATTTCATCCTGTCAGTTAACACAATCCACCAATCACAGAAGTTGCTATGAGGAGAAGGACAATTTTTGGAAAAGGAGACTGTAGCGATCATGATCATATTCTTAGAAATCTGACATTTTTCAACATTCTCCAGCAGCAATGAGCTCCCCAGGTCTTTCTTCCAGCCTGCCTCTTCTGTTTTCTGCATCCTCTTCTTCTTCAAAAAGAGTGTGATGAATGCTCAGGAGCTGGTGTGTGGGGGCTTTGGTCAGCAGTGGCGGCTCAGGGTTCTCCGTTGGGGGCAGAAGCTCTATTTGTGCAGGGGAGGACTTGGGACTAAGCGCATCCTCACTTGAGGGAGGGTTTGGGCTCCCACCATTCACGTATGTGGTAGAGGGCAGAGTTACTGTGGAAAAGACAGCAGTGGTCGATACTGGGGAGCTAACCTTGGTTTCTGAAAAGACATGCGACATACATTGAGTAGCAGATTCAAAACGTTATAAGAAAAGGCTCTGTGTTAAGAATGAATTTCAAACTATAGTAAAGCCCACCTGTCATTGCACAAGACACATGAACAATAGTGTGAGTGCCTTCAAGGTAAACTGCGTCCAGATTGTGCTCTGGTGGTAGCGGTTCAACGACTGAGGCCTCCACCTTGGGCTTGCGATTTGTCAGCATGTATGGATGGACGTCCAGGGAGAAGTTTCGTGCGTGCTTTTTGTCCATCCCACTGATGTCTGTAAATGGGAAAACAAGCTCTCTGACTTATGAAGAAACCTAATGTGACTGTTTGAAAGCTAGGTGTACAGCGGAGCGTTAGAAAAATATTTTTGTTTCAGCACTTTAATCTCAAAAGCATTTTCTCTTGTTTTTTTTTTTTTGTTTTTTTTAGCTATTTTGTGATCGCATGTGCCTTAAAGAAACCTGAGCTCATAGATTGAAGCACATGTAAACAAACTTCTGAGCAATTGAATAGGAGTACTGTGGACAGTACATATTAAATGGCTTTAGATTTTAAGCATATAGCAACTTATTTAGCAGCTGACATATGAAGATCAACAGACTTACATGGATATCACGCTTCTGCGTTTCCTGTTTGTTAAAGAGAATAAGGCCTTTGTGTTACATAATATTTATGCGCGATGAAAATAGAAAGTGGTGGATTAAAGATTGCTAAAATAGCGAACTTAAAAATTTGAAGTAGAACTAAAACTTGAAATATTTTCATCCTTCTGTGGGATATTATGCAACAGCAGGAAAAGAATAACCTAAAGGTACCTTACTTTACCTCAGTAAAGGTATGTGCTTTACTGAGGATACTGAGAGCTATACATAGACACTTACCATGCCATGCACACAGATATTGCAGTATACCTTTAGCTGAAGGATGTTGTGTTCCTTTACTGTCCAGCAGTGGTGCTATGAGGCTGTCCGCCATGGTTTTGCGTCTCAGTGGTTTGGGCTTTTCAGGTTTGGTGTTATTTTCCACGCGGGTCAGAGCGAGTGGTTCCTTCGTGACAAACATTGCACTATTCTGTTAATTTTTGGGGGGATTAAACATTTACATTTCAAGAACCAAAAACAGCAACATTTTAGTTTAGTCCCTCTCACGGAGTTTTACATGTGAAGGTATTCAAAGTATTCTCAATGACACTTTGAGTTACATTTCTACCTCATCATTGGTGGTTTTCAACATTGTTGCATTACAGTTCTGCTGGAATTATTCGGTTGTGAAAATTAATAAATGCTTAAATGTAAGGAAAAATTGTGATTGTTTGTGAAAGATGTTGCCTTACTTTGAACGGCTGAGGAAGAGGGTTTGAGCTCGGTATCCATTTAATCTTTTTCCGCGGCCGTTTGCTGACCAGTGGCTCCATGGCCATGTCTCCCACCCCGAGATCCAAAGGATTCATGCTGGGATCAATGGTCTGTATCCCAGACTCCCTCACAGTGGGTGTAGCGTCGTGGTTGGACTGTGCAAGTGCAGCCAACAGCTGCCTGACAACATTGTCGTACATTAGATCACTCTCGTTGGTGATGAAATCCAGTCGGTTCAGTGATTTAATGTGATCCCTGTTCTCATTGCAGAACATAGCCAGAATGTTGATGTCACAGAACGGAGACTTTTGCCACCGTCGCTTTGTTTTGATTCCGACTTTATTCAGCTTGTCGAACACAAAGTTAGACTTACGCACCACAAACAGATGGAGCAAATTAAGTAGGATGATGAAGTTCATGGTACACAGCAGCGCTAAGTCCACCACTGCCATGATGCGCTGCAGCTGCACAGCGGGAAGCTTGCAGTTGACTCTAAGCTTCAACTCTGGGTAGCTGCTGGTATCTGGAGGCTCGCCTAGTGCACAGGTGAACTCATTCTGCCTTTGGCGGGCATAGTATGCACTCAGGTAGGAAATGGGGATAGAGCTGAGGCACATGATAGCCAGATGGCGAGCCAGGTAAATCTTAGCTAAAAAGTTACTTTGGCCTCGTCTCTCCAAATATTTTTCAAAAAGATTTTGCTCAGGGCTCTTTTCCTTCTCTGCATTTTCTATAATCTCCCTCCTTTCCCGCTCAGTTATCCCAGGTCCTTTGGACTGAATTTGCTTCTCGATCTTTGGAGCTCTGCCCTCAGCGGCTCGATGGTAGCAGTTATCAATCTCTTGAAGCAGGAAATTGAGCTCTGAGGTGAGTCGAGTGGAGGCAAGGAACTCCCAGCCCAAAGCAGGAATGTACATAATCCCCGCAAAGGCCAGCAGGGCGTAGGGCAGGAACTTATGTTCAAATAGCGAGGGCCAAAGATGAGGCTGCACATTAGGAATAGCATCACGAAGCTCTGTCCAGCAGTAGCCTCTGGCATAAAGTGCCTGGTCCCGGGTGAAGTTGTGCGGTGTGTAACAATATATGGACTCCTCTGAAAAGAGCACAGAGAATAACGGGGGTCAAATATTTGTTTCAGTACTGCTAAATAATTTTATTTAAATGTATGAACTGAAAAAGAGTAGCAACAATATCAATATGCATTAAAATTAGCGTCATATCAAAATACACATTATATATATATTTCCTTTTCAGCTACTTACATTTTTTTTTATTAAACATTTCATCTTGTTGAAACTCAGAGCATTTTTGTGTCATTCATTTGCTTACTGCATCTTTCTCTAAAGTCATTCTTCTTTCTAACAGAAGAATATTCTGTCATTTTCAAATAGAGGAACTTAGAAGTGTGGTTCCTGTCAAACCTTATCTCTCTGCTGCATTTACCGTATGGTGCAACTGAAAGATTCACCCAGTTTCTGTTTGACTTTGGAACTCGATAGTGACATTAAACATTATTGAAACTTCAATGGCTTTTTTAACAAGGAAAATACAATCAGTTTCTGAAAATCGATGATTAAAAGTAATTTTATACACAGTCATTTATTCTATTATATTGTTAGAATTGTATCGTAGAATTGTACCAGGCACCGGTCTTTGTGCTGAATTGTTTCAGAAAGGTTTTACTGTTTGAACTCTCACATTGTTTTGCTGCTCCAGTTAAAATCCCAGCTGGTTAAACACTGTAGATGAAAGTCTGACTCAGCAACAAGCCAGCATTTCCATCAGCAATGGGTTTCAATCTGCATTACAACCTCCTTCCTCACTCTCTCTCCCATATTTTTGCAATTCCGCAACTATAAACTATAGTTTTTTTCTCTATTTTTCTTTTATTACAAAAACAAAATGGCAATCTCTTGAAAAGTATTAAACCCTCTGGAACTTTTTTTATTTTTACATCTTCCCAGTCTTCTTATGTTGCAATAATGTTTAATGTATTTAAGGAGGATCTTAAATAGCTTAAATCTTGTGTCCATGATGGACACAAGAACACATGAGAACAGGTGTCACATACTCAACAGGACTTTACTGATTTTGTTTACCTTTCTGTTTTTTTTTTAAATGTATGCAATTTGTTCTTTTTTTTATAGTTCCTTCACACCAAGCTTCATTTGACCAAAATGCCACGTGTTGAAGAAAACTTAGTACTGCACATTCCCCTGAAAACAACATCTCTCCGGTAGAAGATGGTGTGGGAAGAATCATGCTGTGTCATGTTTGAGTGTTGGTAAAACATCCAATTGGCAGAATAATTGAGGTAAAAATGAACAATGAAAAATGCAGAGATTAAACACTGAGGCAAAGGTGGAGAAGGACAAATAAACCGGATTAGCTAGTCAGAGAAGATGTGGAAGATAGAAGGAGATTAATGTAAAGCAATACTGTAAGAAAACGTCTTACAGGCTCCAAGAAACTTGCAAATGTGCTAGATATTTGCCTAAAGCGACAACTTTAACTCTGTCCAGTGCTACGGTGCTATTTATTCAGTCTGATCGAGCCTAAACTCTTCCCCAAAACAAGAATGGACAAAAGATTTAGTTGCAATGTTGAAGGCTGGTGGAGACATACCAGAAAAGTATTTAATGCAAAGTTTTCTTATGTTTGTTCAGTATTTGTACAAAACCCAGAGACCCTCACAGAACTGCTATATTTATACTACGATTAGATTACATACAGATTGATTATGAAGAGTTCGTTTCTTAAGGCCATTGGTTGCGCTGGATTTTATTGTGGGGTGTCATTGTAAAGGAAACTGTAACATATAACAGCCACACTTTCAGAATTATTATATTTTTTTCATTATTTTGAAAAATATATGTTTTTCTCCTTCTATGCACTAGCTTTGATCTGTCACATGAAATCCAATCAAAACGTATTGAAGTTTGTTGTTGAAAACCACCTATGAATGCTTTGCATGTTAATCAAACATCTTTATTGTTGCTTTAGCGCCAAGCGCCCCTGCAGTGGCTGAACCACCCACCTGCAAAGTTTCTTGTGAAGACAAGGGTGACCAGCAGGATGGGGATGATGACCGTCCCTATAGTAACGACCCGATCAAAGGGCAGCTCCAGTTTGAGCTGCACCATGAGGCCAGCCAGTGCCCCGCCCTTCTCATCCTGAGAGGAGCCCGGCAGGATGAGTTCCTTCAGCTTCTCGCCTGCGAGCAGCGCTGTGGCCATGTCTAAGTTTTGATCGAGGATGTTCTGCATGCGGAAACAGAAGGCTGCGCTCTACAGCTCCCCTCTGCGAATGAGGCGAGACCAGACGCTCCCTCTTGTGGTTAGGTACTTGCCAAGATGCTGTGAAGCAAACATACACACAAAATTGTGTGGCCGCTGTAAGCCGTGGTCAACATATGTGAGAAAGTGGCGATTTTGTGGTGTTTGCTCAACTTTTACAAAAGAGCAGACAAAAGGGTCAGAAGCACGTCTCTCAGTCTATGTGTCCCTTGTGCATTCCTTTGTTTTGTCCCGTCTCCACAGAGTCTGGCTGCAGTCCACAAGCTCTGTTTGTGGCAGCTTGAGGAATGACCTGAGTTTAGGAGGCGCTCCACAGGGAGAGGAATTGTAGGCTGAACAGTGGTTATGTGAGCCTTGGAAAGAAGAAGCTTTCCCAATCCGAACCTGGAAGACAAATAACAAGTTAGGAGCTGCAAAATAGTAGCTATTACAACTGTAGAGTACACAGAGACAACCTATGCAGTAACTGTGTATCTTAATGCTTCTCTTTGATTTGTGGCTAATCTTGTGGGACAATGTTATCTTTCATGTTCTGTTACAAACATGTGGCTGAATACAGGGAACTTCAATTCAGTTTCCATGAACGGTACCTTGTAAAAGTACGTCTGGTCCTTGAATGGTCTTATATTTCACCACAAATGTCCACTGGGATTTTACAAACACATAATAGAAACATGGACGAACACAATACTTAGCAATATTTTATTTAAAGGTCTATAAATTCAGTGTTTGCGTTCAGATTGAAATTGTTGCCCTACTGAAATTGGATCAAGACTGTTTGAGAACATCGATTTTTTCAGACTCTCATTTCAATGTTTGGTCACACACAATAATATGTTTTATGCTAAGCTTTTATATTTTTGCTTTGGTTTAATGTTAAAGGTCATTGCCCGTCCGAAAGGTGAGTCGTGCCTCAGTGGTTTTGCTCTCTAGCAGGTTCTTTTCAAGTATTGACCTGCATCTAGCCACATCAGTATTCACATCAACTTTGAGTTTGCAACTTTCCTGTTTGTACTGAAGAAAAGCATCCTCACTGCTTCATGTTGCTCCCACCATGTGTCTCATAATGGCTATGGCATGAATCAGGATGACACAGAGTGAGTTTTCCATTTTAAAAAAATGACATTCATTTTTAAAAAGGTAGCTTTCAGTCTAATCTGACCAGAGCAAACTGCAAACAGGACTTAAAATGAATTTAGTTTTGTTACTTTTCATAAAGAGCACATTTAAGGGGTCATAGCTAATGTTTGTCCTGCTGACAGATTCTCTCACCTGAGCTGTGCATCTGTTCAGATTCTCTTCAGAGTTACAACCTCCTTATTTGCTTTTTGGAAAAATACAATCTCAAAATGTGTGGGGGAGAGCACTCTTTCAAGGCACTGCATTTGGACATTGTTGTCCTATTTTAGCAGCAATGCACAAAGAATCCATTTCAAAAAACTTGAAACTGACTCACACAAATATGTTAGCAATTGTTTCCTCTTAAATATGATGGCAACATTTTTTTCTACCCCTACACAAGGAGCACAGAATAGATCCATGTGGGAAAGAACAAAAAAACTTCAAGTGATCCCAGATTCCTAGTGCTATCCAATGTTCTCTAGCTTTCATAAAAGTTTGAATTTATGCTTATCCAGCACAGTAATTTTGCAGGGGTATCACCGCCTGCAGCAGGCTCTGGAGCATGAAGGTTATGGGAAGGTCCTCTGTGGGGAATGTGAATGCATCATCCATTTACCATCAACTAATCTTATCCTCTCATGCCATCTCTTCCTCTTTTACTAAAAACAAAACACATTTCCATCTCTCCTCCTCTCACTCTTGTTAAATCCTAATAAATCCTTCAAAAGCATATCCCTTGCATATCAAGACTAGAATGTAGTATTTAACGACTAGAATGTAGTATTTAACGTCTTACAAAGAGAAATCTTGAGTTGCAGCTTCAGTAGTCCAAAGAGCAATTAGTGTGCTCCAGACAGCTTCAAAAGTGAACATGACTAATGGGATCATGAGCAAAAGAATCCTTAGAAGCATTATTAGGGACCGCTATTCAGTGTTCATGATGACACAGGGTAATTACTGATCCTCAAACAGAGAACAAGATGTCCCTTTTGGGACAGCAACCTTCCAATTTCACCCTCACATGTGACAACTTTAAAGGATGATCAGAAGAGAGGCGAAGTTTACATAATTCAGATTTAAAGGAGCAGGGTCACATTTTGGGAAGGCGCCTGTCTGCCACTGGCTCTGCTCCAGCCTGACAGATGTTTGCCCCTCAGTTGGGCCATGCTACCGGTGTTTACACGGGGAGTCCCACGTCTTTGACTACTACAACATCCCACTTGGCTCTGACCAGTGCAGCTGTCTGTGAAAAGAGGAGGCAGAGTTAGACTTTCAGGACAGGCAGCTCAGGGAGGGGAGCTCTCATCCACCCATTCCTTCATTCATTATTTATTGGATGACGAAAGGACATGGGAGAACTTCCAGGGTGGAATATTCTCTAAACATCAAAGAAACGCTTCTGATCAGACTGCTTAAAGATCAGCCCAAGAGCACTAAATCAGTGCTGTAACAGTTTCCACACTTTTACTTGTTAGCATAAAAGTGCACACACACACAGAAAAAACAAACAAACAAAAAGAAAAACCAACAACAACAACAACAACAACAACAAAAAGAAAAACGGGGAGAATTTCACGAAAAGATCACCATGTCCTAGTCAGCGCAAGCAGGCTGGGATCCCAACCGCTGTCTCCGAAAAGGCTCCATCAGTCCGGGGCTTCACCTCTGCTGAGACATTGCATTGCAGTCAGTTACAGCCGCCTGTGGATGACGAGCCGCTTTCAGCACCTGAGCGGCGGACAGCTCCCGGAAACCCGGAGACAAGGCTTGCTCAACGCCGGGCACGCATCGATCCGCTGTGCATACGCCGGGAAGCGAAAGTGTATCTTGCGCGTGAAGCGCAGAGTGCGCACGAGACGAGGGGAGGCTCTCTGTGATGCTCTGCACCTGAATCTCTTTCTTTCTCTCTCTACCTGTCCTCTCAGACCGGACCGGACCGCCGCCGCATTTTGCCGACGTGGAGCGAACTGCTAAAGATTTGCGGGGCCGCGAGGACGAGAAAAATGATCATTGAAAAAAAAATAATAATAAAAAAAATAAATAAATAACTCACCGAGTCCAGCTGCGTCTCCGCCGGCGCGGTAAGAGTTAATCTGCAGTGCGGGCGAGAAGCTACAGCTTGTATCCGAGCTCACCGGTTTGTTCCGCCTTTTCTCCCCCCACCTCCCTCCCTCCCTCTGGTGACTCCAGCCCCCTTCTCTTCATCTCCCCTCCCTGCCTCTTCCTCTTCCTCGGAAACAAGGGAAGAGATAGCAAATGGAAGCTTCTGCGGCTCTTCGTATCGGCTCTGTGAGTGTTTGAGGCGGGATGACGGGCGCCCTGCGGTTTGTTGACAGGCTTGCAGCAAAACCGGCCAAAATTCATCCTCTGCAAATCGATATTATTAAAAAAATAAATAAAAAACGTTGCTGTAAGTATTAGAGATTTGCTAATGCGACGCAAATCAAGCAGGTTTAAGAGCTGGATTCTGTACGACACAAGCATCCGGCTCTCCGTTTGGGTCATTGTTGACTCCTGGGAACCGCAGCCAAACCCGCACGACAGTGGCGGCGTCTTCTCGCCGCGCACTCAAAGGTTTATTCTCCAGCATGCCTGTCATCTCAGAATGTGGGACACGCACACCAGGAGTGGGAAAGATGGGTGTCATTCAAATGTTACGGGTGTGGCGAGCATCTTCACCCATCTTCTGTTTGCAGATGAGTCATCAACAGGTGGTTCGAGGTTCCTGTTTGGAAGAGGCGCCTTGGAGTTCAAGCTGAGTGAGTGGTGAGGCTTGGAGTTCTGGCAGGAAGATTTCATCACGACAGGGATGATCATGAGATGTTTTCCTATGTAAGGAGCGTTTTTACCTGGACTTTGCCTGATGATACAGCAAGTTCAAGAATTTCTAAAACTACCTTAAAACTTAAGTTTAAGGTTATCTTAAGGCGTAGGGTTACACTGTGGATATCCACTTGTGTGGTTTTCTAAGTACTTTTGAAATTACGTTTCATATTTACTGTCCTATTTGAGTATTTTCAAAATAGTTTCTGTAAATAAAATAAAGAGTGTAGTTTTCTTGTGAAGCACTTTGGGGCAACTCCACATTCATTCCCAATCAAAATAGCTAAAATCAAACCTCAGTAATTCTCCTACAATGCACAGATGAGAAAGTCCTTGTGCTGCATTTTGAAGGAGCTTCATGCGTGGATATGTAGGGTGTGTTGAAGTGAGAGTGAACACAATGGTACTTTAAGTCGCTGTCGGGATCCTTCAGGAAGAAGATTGTAGCAGGTTATGACTTTACTAAAAGTTTAAAGCCGTCTTATAAGAGTTTGAAATCAGCCATTCCTGTCCAGGACAAGTGACTAATATTCAAAGCCACTGCGCCCCAGTCTGGCTTTCTAAGCAGTAGAACGAATAGTAGATTAAATCTCAGAACATTACTAACATCACGTTTTTGGAACACACTTGATTTTAATCTGGTTTCAAATATGTGAAGCCAGACAGTTTTACCAATCTCTTGCAATTCACAATAAAAGAATAAAAAGTGCACCGATACCAGCTGGAATCACACCATCTTGATGGCTTCAAACTAAAACTCTGAAGTTTCTCTGTAACTCTCTACAGAACAGTTAATAGCAAAATGATAAACGACCTGTACTCATACAACTCTATCCAGTGCAGAGGACTCCAAAGCACTTTACACTACATAGCAGCCACAAGTGTGGCAGAAGAAAGGCTGCCACTCAATTGGCGTCACTAGGCCCTCTGACCAGCAGCAGCAGGCCTGGAGGGTGAAGTTTCTTGCTCAGGGACTCAATGCCTGATACGGACAAAGTGGGGGTTTGAACTGGCAACGCACCATCGCCCCACAATGTGTTGAAATGTCAGTGGTGGTGCATGGAGATCTGCTTTAATTAAAAAAAAACTTTGCACCTAATTGTTGTTATAAAAACTTGTAGATGTCATGAAATAGTAAATAAATGCATTAATTAATTAACACTTATAGGTCTCAGTCATGAATCAAATATTGCACTGGACACATGAGCAGCAGATATGTTTAACGGTGCTTTCTCACTTTTTTCTTTTCCTCCTCAGAAAGATTTTCGCCTCACTGCTGGGATAATTTTGCTCCAGTCTCACTGTCTGTGAGTCAAAGTGGGGCACACCCATCAGACTGAATCTGCCAGCCCCTCCAAGCCAGTTTCTGCCGGCAAGGGAACCCGCTCCTTACCACGCATTGCTTCCAAATATAGACTCCTTCCCTCTGTCTCATCCCTCCTCTTTCCTGATACTTATGTTGCCTACAACAAGCTGCAAGATGTAGTTCCTATAAGCAAGAAACACAAATAAATAAAATAACACACAATGCTTTATAGCAAAATTTTACAACCTAAAAAGTCTATTTCGGTTTGTAGTGTAAATGTTTGGGCCTCTTCATTAATGCTAATTGAGATCTTGAAATGAGAAATGCACTTATTTCCTTTTCTGTTTTTCTCATATCTAACATTTCAGTAAGATATTGTTGTTTTGTGTTATATGTATATATTTATCTTTGTATATTAAAACCATAAAAAGAAAATATACAGCACAATATTTGTGAAGTGTTAAAGCTTATTGAGCTTGTCACTGGAAAGGGCAGAAGATGCAAATGTCACTCTTCAAACCTTATCCTGACAAACAGCAGTCACAGACGCCTCCAGGCCTCTGCCTAGAGCTCTGAAAGGAAAAGCAACTTGATGTCCATTATCAAGGCCGGAAAGACTGTAAGAAGATAGCATAGGTTTTTCAGGCAGACTGTAATGTGATTAAGAAACTGAGGTTGCCCGTAATGGTGGAAGTCGAGCTTGGCTTTCAAAACCGCACAAAATAAATCGCAACAACAACAACAACAAAAAGCTCTCACTATGAAAAGAGGAGGCTGACTGAAAGTAGGGCTCAAATGCTCTTTAAGCATTTGAGGACTCAAGTTGTCAAACATTTAAGTTTGACCCTAAAAAAAAACCAAAACAAAAAACAGAAGAAATCTGTAAAAGGTCAACCACTTTTTAAACTAGTGGTTGACCATTGACAAACAATGGCCTACGCCTTGAGACGTAGCTTCAGTATTACTCCATCCTTTGCTTCCTTATGATGTCATCTATTTTGACAAGTGCACCAGTCCTTCCTGCAGCAAAACACTCAACGCAAAATGATGCAGCCACCGCCACACTTCACACTTGAAATGGTGCTCTCAAGTTTTACTAGTTTAACCCTTTTTTCTTCTTCAAAAATGTAAAAATTATTATTATAGCCAAAAACTTTCCTCCAGTTTCATCAGTCCACAAAAAATGTCTCCAAAGATTAAGTCCTTAAACTGCAATAAACTTCAAACTGTCAGTTTATGTTTATAAGAGGAATGGATTCTGCCTTACCTAGCAGACTTTCAGCCCATGTTGGTACAGTACCAGTCTGGCCATTGCCTTCTGCGCAATTGTGCTCGATTCAAATCTCGCTTCGCTGACCATTTCAGGCTTTCTCCCATTCCCTTGGATTCCTCTGGTAGAATTTCTACTGGACCAATCACTGTACAAAAAGAGATTATTGTGAACAATAATCCAGATTTTTTATGCTGTTTCAGAATTGTAGTCTGCCTGTAGTTTGAGCAATTACAGAGGAGGAAGTTCAGTAGCCATTGTTTCTCAATAACTCACATCCTCATAGCTGATTTCTTTAGAGTTTTTCATGATGTCACTCAGGGAAGCAGTGTGTTTAAAGGGTTAAATTAAAATACATCCTCAGGTG